ATATATCAGGAGTCCTTGTAGATAGGCAACCCCTCCATGCAGAACGTCCTGACCTGCCATATATCAGAAGTCCTTGCAGATAGGTAACCCCTCCATGCAGAGCCACCTGTCTTGCCAATTATCAAGAGTCCTTGCACTTTGAGACTAAGTATTGATTAGCTTATTAGTACACTCTAACTATTTAATCCCTACACAATAACAATAATAAGTATGACTACAGTCACTCAAGCTCCACCTGAATGTAAAGAAAAGTATAAAAGGTGAACTAAGGATGAAAAAGAGAGGAAAGATTCCATCATAAATTTTGGATCAGTTGACAGGTTGAACCCCCTTTCCTCCCCTTGGGTCAGGGTGCTGCCTGAGGAAACTAAGGAGGAGGAAGGAAGAATCTATCGTAACTCCTGGGTCAGTTGACTGATTCCCCTTTCCTCCCCTCGTGTTGGGACACCACCTGAGGAGACTCGAGACTTCTCCCATCTTCTGGGATGAGTGATGATTGCACATTTGTACATCACAGCTAGCTAAAAACCCTATGCTCTAGTAGAGAATTTCTTGTACTGACATCTGAAACCTGCTTTGTAAATGTTGCATTTGAATAAATCATACTGTGTGTGAACTCGAGTACTTGTTTGGGGGGAGGCGATCGGACCTACAGTTGACAGACTGTGAATCTGATATTGCCAGAGTTGAGCTTATAGTTGATCACACTATTTGGGAACTCAATTCGCTTCTAGGAAGGTGATCGGACCTACGGTCCACAGACTGTTCATGAATCCGATACTGATTTGATATCTCCTTCCCTCCCCCCCCACCACTATGGCTCTCAAACTGCAACATTTCACAGCTTCATCATCAGACAGGCCTCTGATAAGCGCTTCTGCCTTTGGCCAGGTCCCTGTTATCGCTGACCCACTTCACTTAGCCTCATGGTGTGACAAAGGAGTACACAACCCTCAAGTCCCGATCCTGCACCACATTAGCCATGCTCCTGCTCGCTTTTTCCAAACCTTTCCCTTTCTGGCAGTGTCCTGCTTCCCCCCACTGTGTTGTATCCGGCAATTTGCCCTGCCACCACCACAGGTACCTCCTTCACCACTGTGGCCTCTTGCACTGGAGGGCTTTCCTCACCCAATGCCAAATATCCCTCTCCCATGTCTCCACATCCCAGGCAGGTTGACTCAACTGTTGCTTGTCTGTGCCCTCAGCGTTTCCTCAGATGCAGAACTGCAGCCAGGCACCACAGCAGGGCTCTTAGTGCCTAGTGTTGAGCAATTGATTTTGCTGACGGAAAGGTAATTTAGCTGACTTGGAAACTTGTCCTGTGACAAACTCAAGCGAGACAATGGGGACAGACTCCTCCCGAGTGGCACTGGGAAACCAGCTCTGAAAGTGCCATTGCTTTACGAGAACATAGAAGAGCACGAGAGCACTTGAGCCCTAGTCCTGCGCATCTTTTCTTAGATGTGGGCATGCAGCACCGAAATGGGGACAGGGAAAGCAAGGGTTGTGCTCCCTCTGTAGTGCCTAGTGGCTCTGCCAGTCTCTGCAGAAAGCCCTGTGTGCCGCGTCCTCAGCTGAAACAGCTCAGGGCACCAGGGGTCCTGCTGCTTGAGGTCTCACACTGGTTGGTCTGCATAGCAGTTGCTGCCTCAAAATGCTTCAGCCTGTCAAATCTTACAGGTATTCCTGACTCCACAACAGGGTGTGTTGGAAAGAGCAGCTGGCACAGCCCCTCTCGGCTGTGGAGGTGTGCAGCCACATGCTGCAAAGACTTCTAGGCAGTTGGGAGATGGGCTGAAGCTACAGATCCCTGCCATGTGTAGAACCTTCTTGTTGGCCCAGGTGAACTGGAGTGCCAAAAATGTGACCCCTGCCCTTCCCTTGTCCCCAGTGTCTGCCTGTCCTGACAAGCCTAGACAGGAGCAGCATGGCCAGAGCATGGCCAGCAAATATAGTCAAGTTTGCTACCTACCCCTCCGCTAAGCATGTCTCGTGTCTTCTGCAGTGAAGGGTCTGATGCCCAGGGCAGCAATGAAAGCCAATGTGCAGACCCAGTCCTTATCTTACAGCACTGTGCCTTCCCGAGGCTAAATGAGAAAAGCTGCCCCTATACTCTGAGGCTGAGTCTCTGGAAGAGAACTGAACTGAATGAACACGGTTTCTCCCATGCTAGCTTGTTAAGGGAGACAGTAAAATAATTGAAAGAGGCATCAACCAGTAAACTTTATTCACCAGTGCAAGATCTTTGTGATAACAACATCCACCATTAACGAGCATGATTATTATAGGGAATAGGCTTAGTAATTAGCAACTGACAATTAGTGCCAGAGATTAGAGAACGCTGCTTGCCCCAGTAAAAAGCTATAGCATTTCTCTCCTAAGTGTATAGAGGGCTCTCAACTTTGCAAGGAGTTGACAAATGTCAGCATCTTTCTTATTCCTGGATGTACAGCGGACTCGCATCCTTATTGGGAATTAGCTGAGCCCAACACCCCAGATGAAGGGGAAGTGAGGAATACTCATGGTCTGGCCAAAGGAGTTGGTCGGGTGTTGTTCCCGATCCCTGCTCATCTGAACCCTGTCTTTTATACCATTAGGGGGAGAACGCATGACTGCAGCATGCGTTATTAAGTGATTATGAAGTGAAGTTCTTATGAAGTGATCATTACAGAATGTTTGGGCGACTTCCATAGGACTTACTACTTCTTGCATAGCCAGCAAGATACGTTTGCAAGACTGTCTCACTTCCCTTTTCTTGCTGTTTTTGGGAAACGCTTGTTGTTTCCACCCCATGTCCTTGCCACATTAGCATCTCTGTGCATTTTCAGATGCTAACTCTTTGCTTGCCCATCAATGACTCACTTCACAAAGGGAATTTTATTGGTTCTGAACTTAAAGCCTTGGGATAATAAAATGAAATATGCAGCTTAGTAACTTCATGTAGAAGACAAGGCCTGCACATACCTAGAGACAAAGAAGAACTGAGCTGAAAAACAAGCTAAAGTAACCTAAGTATGTTTATACTTCACTAACATAGTAAAGAACACACCCAGGAATATGAGATAATGGCTCCCCCAGTACCTGAAACATGGGAACCTATGTAACATGTATGCTCACATAGATAAGAAAATATTAAAGCAAATTAACCAATTGCTAACAAGTAGAAATTTTTATAATTGCCTGAAAATAAGTAGAACATGTTCACCCCTTTGAGTCTGCTTTCTTTGAGAAGGACAGCAGAGAATTAAGACCTTGCTGCTGATTCCAATTCAGTGTGCTTGTTGACTCAATGCACTGGGCATGCTCCCACAATAGGATAACAAGCTCATCTTCCTCTTGGTGAAGATAGCATTTCTGGTAGGAGCTGGAAGGAGAGTCTCTGCATCCCATGCTCACACACACTGCTGATGTGATGATCAGTTCTCCGGGGAAACTTGTAACCCAGCTCCTGGGAAGCCTGCTGTTACAGTCCTTTGAACTCAGAAGACAGTGGGAGAGCAGAGCAGGGGTTTGCTAGGTCCTCTACAGAGACCAACTGCTGCTCCAGTTGGTTGTCCTTTCAGGTTGGCTGCCAGAGGAGGTTCTCACTGCACTCCTCTCGCACTGCTCCCCATCATTTTCTCCGCATTACCTTCATGGACAGCGCAGATGGAAATATTATCCCCAGTTTTTTTCTTCTTCCATCACTCTCACTCCTAGCCACAGCAGACCTCCCCTCCAAACCCTTTTTGCTGCTCGCACAGAGTATGGAAGATGGAGTCTCCGGCTGGGCTTGCCTCCTACATTTTATTTAGCATGTTTAGCCGATTCTGCGGAGTAGGAGCAGTGTGAGAGGCGTGAAACCCCCAAACCCGCCCCGATCTTCTTCTTTCCTCACCCTCCCCCGCCTCAGCTCCTCCCGCCACCCGCGTCCTCGCTGGGCTCCCGGAGGCGGGGCCGGAAGTGGGGATGGGGCGGGAGGCCGGAGGCGGGGATGAGGCGGGGACCAGGGCGGAGCAGCTCGCGGAGGTGGTGTCGCATTGCTGTTGCGGCGGGAGAGGCGCGCGCCGTGGCCGCCATCATGCGCTTCCGGGCCAAGATCGTGGATCTCGCCTGTCTCAACCACTTCAGCCGTGAGCGGGTGGCGGGCGGCTCCGCGGGGCGGTTTTCCCCATTGGCCAAGGTACTCAGAAGTTACAGCCTTCCCGGCCCGCCTACACCAAACTCCGGCCTCCCGCCATCTCTTCTCACCTGAGCTCACCAACTCCTTTGTCCCCCTTGCTGAAGAATGTGGGGGAATTGCCCTATTTCCCTCCTTTGTTAAGGCCCCCATCTCCTTGCAGATGACTCTTTTTGTCCCACTCAGCTCATGGCTCCACTGAGTCTCCCCTCCCTTTGTCCTGCTCTTCAGCCAAACGGTGGAGAAACCCCCTTATTCATGAATACAGAAACTTGAGCATTCCGCTCACATCCATCCATCCATCCATCCATCCATCCATCCATCCATCCATCCATCCATCCATCCATCCATCCATCCATCCATCCATCCATCCATCCATCCATCCATCCATCCATCCATCCATCCATCCATCCATCCATCCATCCATCCATCCATCTATCTGTGCGTGCGTAGCCCCGCCGAGCCTGCTAAATCAGGTTTTGTTTCCCATAGGGGTTGTGAATACGGTGGCGCGGCTGACCAAGACGTGCACCCTGCGGCTGGCGGCAGACAAGCTGTATTTCATCTTTTCAGATAAAGTGGCCAACAGAGGAGTTAGCGTGTGGTGTGAGCTGTGCCAGGTGCATACGGGAGATGTGAGGGTGGGTGCTTGTACTACCAGTGATGGGCTAGGTTGGGTCCAGTGTGCCTGGCTGCTGCTGCATCACTTAGCAGGGGTATGCCTGGTGTCTCAAATCATGCCTCATTGCTGAAGATGCCCAGTTTTCCAGGGCTGCTTTTTGCCTCTGCAAGGCAGGTGCCTCCTCTTTCTTGGCTGTCCTGTATGCATGCACTGCATCACTGGGGCTCACCCAGCATCAGAATCAGAAAAGAACAGTACCATGTTGCATTGCTCATGTTGAGAACTGTTGGATAGCAAGAGAGGGACTGAATTCAATAGTTCTGACTGTGTTTTGTTTTGTTTTCTGTCTCGCAAGGGGCTTTCATCCCAAGGCATCCATTCTTGCATCACTGCTTGCTGTAGATGTTCAGCTTTAAACTTAAGATTTTTATGTTGTTTATGTTATTTCCCACCTTGCAGGGAAATTTCTTTGATGAGTTCCAGATGGAAGGTGTAGCTGCAGAACACAATGAAATCTATTTGGAGTTGGTGCCCGAGAACTTGTCGAGAGCATTAAAAACAGCCCAGAATGCTAAGACAGTGAAGATCAAGCTGACTAACAAATACTGTCCCTGTCTCACTGTAGCTGTGGAGCTAGTAAGTGCAGGAATGCTTCTATTGTCATTAAATAAAAGCACTTGAAAAATAAGTGAAGAGACAGAGCAAGAATGCAAGTTGCATGCTTTTTCTGATGTCTTTGTGACCTGAAACCTTTTCTCCTTTAAGAACCCTGAAATCCTTCTTGTGTGACTGCATTCTCTTTGAAGCTTACCAGTGCAGGAGGATTCAATGTAGTGTTTAGCTGTTGGTTTTCATTTTGCTTTTTCCACTGGTCCATTCCAAACTGCCGTATTCTTGGAGCTTGCTGTGCTAGCGCCTCTGAAATGTTTAGCTCTGAAGATAGCTCCTAGGTGCCCATGACAGATGCCTCGCGAGTGTTTTCTTATGCAAAAGGACAATCCACTTCATAGCACAGAACCTATGTGAAACTGGAGCAGAGCCTCTGAGCATGCTTGTATTTCTTTCCCAGAGTAGGGCTGATAATCCTGGCTTTCAGAATTGTATTTGTGTTTTATCTGCAATAATTTTCTGTCTCTCAAGCCATCCTTGTCAAGCACCAGTCGAATTGTGACACATGACATTCCAGTTGGAGTTATTCCCAGAAGATTATGGAGTGACTTCAGAGAGCCCCATGTGCCAGATTTTGATGTAAGTATCTGTTTTATGGTCTCTGCTGACTGGGAAAATTGCGAGTGGACGGTGGTGCAGAGATATGCTGGTGTAAGCTTGGGAAAGGGATGGAAAGTCAAAATGGAAAAACTGGGGCAGCTTGGGAGATGGCTTTCATCATGACAAGAGAGCCCAGGCACTCTACAACAGTTTTTTACCTGCTGTTGGTAGGTTGACTGTGGGAAGGAAAGAGGAAAGGACTTCTATGGCAGGATGTCTTGAAAACACAGATATGTCTGTGACTGGTTCATACCATTCATCTGTTTAGGTGTTATTCCATGTGGCCCAAGTATTGCCTGTGTGAAATTCATGGCTCACCTAGCAGAGTTAGACAAAAATTATGTTTCTGCCTGGCTTTTGTGTACCCTGTACTTGTTTTGACACATAGTAGAGCTCTGAGGGCCGATTTACTGGCAGTGTGCTGACCCTGGTGCCACATCAAAAGCTGAATGCAGTTGCATAGGAGTGCAAATTGTTCCTCCTTGTTGGCTGGACTGGTGTTAACTGCTTGGTAACATAGATATGGGTGGCATAACATGGGAGCTCAATCTGCAAGAGCTGTCTGTGTTTTGTATTTTGCATACAGCCTTGGGCTAGGTCTTCTGGCACAGACAAAATTTGAGAGTAGAAGGATAAGTAACTTGGAATGTTTTTTTTTTTTTGATGTCTGAAGTACTTGCTAGAGCAATGGCCCAGTGGTACAATGGGGAAGACAGATCCTCTGTTCGAGACCATTTTCTGGTCTGATTTAAATGGTGTGCTCTCTGCCCTTAGTGAGTGGCAGAGGAGGGCAATTTAAGGAGAGAATTGAAGGGAGAGTAAGCATTGCATCCCCTTGTGCAATAGTCATGTGAATGCAGTTTTTGTGTCTTTTTAGGTCAGTATTTACCTGCCAATGTTAAAAACAATGAAGAGTGTGGTAGAGAGAATGAAGAACCTCAGCAATTGCATTGTAAGTTCAAGCAAGTCTCTTATCTGAAAAGCTTTTAAGTCTTGTCCTTGTAGCATCTTTCTGTCTTTGCATACATGTTAGTTTTTCTTC